TTGCATAGCAGCTTAAAATGTAGCTGGAGTAGCATGGGAAGATATTATTTTTTAAATAAATTTTTTGAGATAATCTATTTTAATTTGTTATATTATTTTTTTAAATATATATTTTGTAAATGATTTTTTTTATATATTTATATTTTACGTACCTTTCTTCTGTAAATCCTTTGATTGCTATTTTTAAATATATTTTTTTACAATAATTTTTTTATATATTTATTTTTATTACTTATTTTTTTCTAATATATCTTTTGATCTCTAATTTTTTATAAATATATTTTTTTAAGTGATTTTTTCTATATTTATTTTTTACTTACTTTTTTCTGAGATATCTTTCTCTAATTTTGAAATATATTTTTGAAGATTATTTTTTATATATTAATTTTTTATGTACTTTTTTCTGATATATCTATTGATCTATATATTTAAATATATATCCTTTTTAAAAATGATTTTACATTTATTTTTGCCTACTTTTTTTGAGATATCTTTTGATCGCTAATTTTTAAATATATTTTTTAAGATTATATTTTTCGTATGTTTTTCTGATATATCTTTTGATCCCTATTTTTTTTAAAATATATATTTTTTTTAAAATATATATTTTTTTAAAATGATTTTCTATATATTTATTTTTTACGTACTTTTTTTCTGATTCATCTTTTGATGACTAATATTTAAATTTTTTTTAAATGATTTTTTATATATTAATTTTTTCGTACTTTTTTTCTAAGATTTTTTGACAGATAATTTTTTATATATATTTTTTTAAGATTATTTTATATATAACATACTTTTTTCTAATATATCTTTTGATCTCTACTTTTTTTACGAATATTATATGAATTATATTTTTTACAATGAATTTTTATTTTATATCCTTTAACAGTTTTTACTAATATAAATATGTTATATTTTTTTATAGACATGGGCAGTACGATTAACAACAAAATTCCTAAATTCGCTTTTAATTATATATTTAAAATTAATGATGAGTTATTTTCCTCCAAATCGTCAATACCTTGATTTGATAAAAACTCTAGATAAATAAAATCTTGCAAGATCTTATAGGGAAGACTTGCTACCAGATTTCTCTTAATAATATGGCGTAAAAATGTATTTTAACATAAAATTTAGCCGTAAAATGAATTAGTTATTTATCTTCTAGCGTATAAATTTGGAAAAGGAGGGGGGGGGGAGTAAAAATCCCCACCCCTTTTATCAAATGTGCCTGGTTTGGTAAATATTATTTTAAAATAATAAAGAATTTGCCCCTATCAAAAAAAATGTGTATATGATGACATAAAAAATATAAAAAAATATTAAAAATAACGACCATGTAAAATTTGTGAGAAATTTAAAAAAAGGAGTATAAACCCAAAGAAAATATATAAACTGGTCAAAGTCTTTCAAAGAGAGAACTTAACATTATTCTATAAAATTAAGTAAAATAATTTTCCAAAGCCTTCAGCTCTAGCAAGAATCTTAGATAAACTTATAGTGTTTGGCATATAATCTTAGTTATTGTTTAGATTAAATAAATATATATATGAGGGCTAACAGTATTTAATCTGCACTATATTGGAATAGTGAAAAATGAGAAAAATGCTAAAATTTATTTCATTTATAAATATACTCACAGAAATTTAATTCGAAATATAAAATACTTTGATAGATTTAAATTTCAATATAAGCTATAACTTTTATTTTTAGATCGTTCATTAAAGTGAATAAATATCTAAATAATATTTATTTGCAGATTTGAAATAAATATGTCAAAGATATTATAATTAGTTGATATACAAAATAATCGATGATTCTTTATCTATATATATAATAGCCGTATTCAAGAAATGAACGTTTTCCTATCTTTATAACGTTAATTTTTTTTTGGTATCAACTTTCATATCTTCATAACGTTAATTTTTATTTTTTCTATCAACTTTCCTATCTTCTTAATGTTAAATAAATCGAGGGCTTTTATTATCTCGGTAATGTTAAATTTATAAAAAAAAAAATTTTTCTTACTCGGGGATTCGAACTCGCGCCTTAATTTCAAAGGCAAACGTTCTTACCGTAAGGCAAACGTTCTTACCGTTCAGCCCCTTTAAGCTTTATATTTTGTAATTAACTAAATTTAATCAATATTTATTTTTTTTCATTGGATTATTAAGCTCTAATACTATTGGTTTAAATTTATTTTCTTTATTTTTTAATGGCTAAGGTAAAATATTTTTAATTATTCCATTTTTAATTAATTTATAACGACCATTTTATTTTTTAAATTTTTTAAAAATGGAATATTAAAAATAGCAAACCATTTTCAACCAAAAGTTTAATTTTTATTTAATATATTTTAACTATTTTAAGGAAACATTTAAATCAATGGTAGTTGTTAACAGTTATTTCAGGTAATCATTGTTTTTTTTAAAATATTTTAAGAATAGTCTTTTTTAAGAGGATGGGGAATGAGAATTTTCTCATTACTTTTATGGTCGTTGTTACCAGTTATTTCAAAATAATATCCAATTTTTATTCCTTATAACCTCCTTCTCTCTTCAGGCCAGGTCCGATCCATTAAATGTAATGCTTTGCTTTAAGCTAAAATATATTTAATACAAAAAATTCCCAAGCAAGGTCCAAGGCCATAATAATTTTGAAAAAAAAACCCCCAAGCCCAACCAACGATATGAAAATTTTGGTAGTTGAGAACTGGAATAAAATATTTAAAAAATCTTAATGAATTTAAAAATACAATCAAAATCAGATTTTCGTGGACCTTGATTTTTTTGATCAGGCTAGCCCAGGCCTTAGAAAAATTTGTTTTAGATCAATGTCTGACCCATAGTTAATAAAAAAAATTCCCAAACGTCCAAGCTGAATTTCCAAAGCTCAGCCAACCTATTAAGACTAAATGCTATTTTTTGATTAAAAATATATTTTAATTGACTTTTACCAGAGTTCCCTATAAATATTATGTGTTAAATATTATGATAACCCTCTTCTCTCTTTGGGCCAGGTCTAATCCATTAAATGTAATGCTATGCTTTAAGTTAAAATATATTTAAAGCTATTAAGACTAAATGCTATTTTTTGAGATATATATAGATTAGCTATTTAGCATGAGGATGGGGAATGAGAATTTTCTCATTACTTTTATGGTAGTTGTTACCAGTTATTTCACTTTTATGGTAGTTGTTACCAGATTTCAACATAATATCCCATTTTTTAAAAAATATATTTAAAGCTTTTACTTGATACAAAAAATTCCCAAGCAATGTCCAAGGCCATAATAATTTTGAAAAAAATCCCCCAAGGCCAACTAACGATATGAAAATTTTGGTAGTTGAGAACTGGAATAAAATATTTAAAATATCTTACTGAATTTAAAAATACAATCAAATTCAGATTTCCATGGGCCTTGATTTTTTAATCAGGCTAGCCCAGGTCTGACCCATAATTAATACTGAAAAATACTCCCAAGCGTCCAAGCTGAATTTTCAAAGGGCCGTATTTTAAAGTAGTGTTCAATTATTTAAGTTTTAAATATTTTTTTAATGTTAAGCCCACCTTATTTAATCCTTACTTACAATGAAAAATAATATCCCTAAAAAAACAAAAGTTTACTTATTTATTTAATTTTATATACTTTTTTATTATTAGGTATATTATGCCCTTCGAGAAAGGCGGGTAATAATATTTTTCCCAATATTTAAATCAGAAATTAAGAATATTTTATGAGGTATGATTTACAAATTTACCTCTTTTTCTACTAAATTTTAATCTAATATAAGGTACAAGTTTAATATCCAATATTTAAGAACATTAATTCCCGTCATTCTTGACGGGCTATCAACTAGTTTCATTATATTTAGCAGTAAACATTTTAGAAATGGTAAATTAATATTAAAAATGTTTTAATTATGAATCTGCGAGCTATTATAAATTATGTTAAAAAAAATATTTCCGGCTGCTATGAAGATTAAAGTTTAATTATAATAGTGAAATTTTTTATTATTTTAAGTCATTAATGCAATCATAATATATCTCACCTAAATATTTATATTTCGAGTTTTTATCAAATCAAGGCATTATTATATAATTAAAAGCGAATTTATGAATTTTGTTAATAGTACTGCTACTTTCTATAAAAAAAACATATTTATATTAGTAAATACTGTTAAAAGATATTAGATAAAAATTTATTGTAAAAAATATAATTCATATAATATTCGTAAAAAAAGTAGAGATCAAAAGATATCTTAGAAAAAAAGTACGAAAAAATTAATGTAGAAAAAATAATTTTAAAAATATATTTTAAAATATTAGCAATCATAAAATATATCAGAAAAAAAATACGTAAAAAATAAATATATAAAAATAATTTGAAAAAATATTTAAAAATTAGTGATTAAAAGATATATCAGAAAAAAATACGTAATATAAAAAAGTCATTCAAAAAAAGAATATTTAAAAATAGCGATCAAAAAATATATTTAAAAAAAAATATAAAAAATTAGGTTAGGGTACCTTTTCAGGGGCAATTATTTTTGTTATTTTTTAATGTTATTTTTTGTTATTTTTTTATGCGATTTTTTGTTATTTTTTTATGCGATTTTTTTTTATGTAATTTTTTTATGAAAGCTATTGTTTTTATGTAATTTTTTTATGATTGGTTCATTTTCTTATTGGTTAATTTTTTATTTAAGATATTTTAAAATTAATATATCTTTTTTATTAAAGATATTTTAAAATAATTTTTTCTAAAATTTAAAATTCGTACAATTATTTAAAGGAAGTGATGGGGGCAAATAAGGGGGAAGGCTAGGGGTAAGGGGTAAAATTATTAGATTATGTACAATGCGGGTAGGTTTGGGGTAAGATTTTTGGTAGACGAAACTTTCCATTTTTAATTTTTTTTTTGGTATAAATCTTTTTTTGGTTCCCTTTTTTTTAGTTCCAATATATATTATATAATTCCTTCCATTTTTTTTAAAATGAATATTTTTGAAGTTGGTGTTTATACTCAAAATGATGAGAAAGCTTATGATTTTTGTCTAAATAATCAATTTATACCGCCTGGAATACAACATACCTGTTGCAATTCCGTAATGCGGGTTGAAAAAAACAATAAGAGTTTACGATATCGATGCAGTAGGTGTCGTAGATCGTATTCAATATGGAAAGGTAATATTAATATATATATATATCATAAATGACGAATTTTTAGATTCCATTTTTGAAGGAATTCATGATGTTGGGAAATTTTTAAGACTAGTGTACTTGTACATAAGTACCAATTCTTTAAAAAATATTAAACAAAATTATTTTTAGGCCGTTATAAAATTTTAACTGCTTCGAAAGAGTTAGATTATGATAAGAAGGCAATTTCAAGATGGTAATCTAAAGTATAATATGGTTTTTTACTTCACTTATATAGGTTTAAAAAATTTCGAAAGGTATGTGGATTCCATATAGCCTCGAATCATTCAAAGATCGGGGGGCCTGGCCACGTTATTGAAATTGATGAAACTCATGTATGGAAGCGTAAATATAACCGTGGTCGGCATTTGACTTCCGAGGCTATATGGATTATTGGTGGTATATGTCGGGAAACAAATGAGATATTTTTAAGTGCCACCACAACAAGAGATCAAGATACCACCTATCGTGTGGTTAAAGATAATGTTATGCAAGATTCCACGATAATGACTGACTCGTGGTTAGGGTATGTGAATTTATTTTTTCAATAAAGCAAAAGTGGTGATAAATGTAAATATATTTATCTTAGATATAATCGGCTAGAAAGTTCAAACTATTTCCACTATCGGATCAACCATTCGCAAAATTTTGTTGATCCAAATGACAGATCGATCCACACTCAAAAAGTCGAGAGGCTGTGGCGGGATCTAAAGGCAAATTATAAAAGACATGGGGATCGGGATAATATTCATGAATATCTTCTTGAATATAGATATTTTCGAAAATATAGATTATTAAATCGTTTTGATGTTTTTATTCATTTTATTAATGATTGTATAAATTTTAATAGTATATTTCAATTTAATGAATAAATTATTTCGATTGTTATGATTAAATTTTATTTATTTTTGGAATCTTCCTTTAATTATAGTGTTATCACTAAAAAAAATTAAATTCTTTATACAAATTTTAGAAAAAATTATTCATATTAAGTTTGTATAGAAGTAATCATATTAAGTTTGTATAGAAGGAATCATATTAAGTTTATATAGAAGGAATCATATTAAGTTTGTATAGAAGGAATCATATTAAGTTTGTATAGAGGGAATCATATTAAGTTTGTAGAGAAGGAATCGTATTAAGTTTGTTTAGAAGAAATCATATTAAGTTTGTATAGAAAGAATCAACCAAATAAATTTTAAATAGCGAAGTTTCATCTATCAAAAATTTAACCCCAAACCTACCCGCATTGTACATAATCTAATAATTTTACCCCTTACCCCTAGCCTTCCCCCTTTGCCCCCATTCACTTCCTTTAAATAATTGTACGAATTTTAAATTTTAGAAAAAATTATTTTAAAATATCTTAAATAAAAAAAGATATATTAATTTTAAAATATCTTAAATAAAAAATTAACCAATAAGAAAATGAACCAATCATAAAAAAATAACATAAAAACAATAGTTTTCATAAAAAAATTACATAAAAATATCGCATAAAAAAATAACAAAAAATCCGCAAGGTCTAAAAGTCGAAAGGCTGCATGATACGAAAGGCTAAAAAATAATATTGAAAATAAAAATAACAAAGAAAATGATTAATGTGTAATTTGATTGATTTATTGCTTTTTTTACGAGAAAAATATTATAATAATATTACATTATAATATATTAAAAAAATGGAAATTTTAAGATCTTTTCAATTTTTTTATTCATTCTTTGAAATAAATTGCGGTTTTAATTTTATTAATTTTTAATTTATATTTTTAATTAAATTATATTTATTTATTTAAAAAAAATGGAATATAATATATTAAAAAAATGGAAATTTTAAGATCTTTTCAATTTTTTTATTAATTCTTTTGAAATAAATTGTACGATTATAATTTTATTTAATTTCATTAATTTTTAATTTATATTTTTAATTAAATTATTTGGTTATTTTAAAATAATGGAATTTTTAAAATTATATGATTATTCTATTTAAGTTTTTTTTCAAAACTAAATTGATAGTAAGTATAACGATATTGTGAGTACTGGATTAGGGAAAAGGCTAACATCTTATATGCAATTTTGAATATTTTTATATCATTATACTCAGAATTAAATTTCCTATCTAAATATGCTTTGATGTATTTTTTCACGTTATTGGTTCAAAAAATAAATTTTAAAAATTTTTTTGTGGTAAAAACGTTGGAAGGGAAAAAGGCTAACATCTTATATGCAATTTTGAATATTTTTATATCATTCTACTCAGAATTAAATTTCCTATCCAATTATGCTTAGATGTATTTTTTTACGTTTCCGGTTCAAAAAATAACATTTTTGTCGCGAAAACGTTCGAAGGGAAAAGGCTAACATCTTAAGTTTAATTCTATAAATTTTTATATCATTGAACTCTCATAACAAACCTACTGTGCGACCAACACTATACATTATGAATTTTAGCGTTCTTATTTCGGGGAGAGAAAGTTATAATTACCGTATATTCATTTAATTATGAATGTTGGGTAAAAATATGGAGGACAAATAGGCACTTGAAGGGATATCCCAAATCATTTATTTCCCCATCTTATTAACCTTTTCAAATATTTTCGTAAAATTCAGGTATTTTAGCCCTGTCATTTTATCCGAAAAAATTTACACCTTCTGTTTTAAATCAAATTAACAATAAAAAAATTTGTCAATATATTTGAGTAAGATTTTATTAAGAAAATTAATTTCAATTATTCGAATCGAATGCAATGGTAGATTTTATTATTCGTACGAATTCAAACACTATTCGATTCTAATTTATTTGTTTATTATAATTTTTTTTTCTAAATTGTTGAAAATATTATTTACTTCCATACAAAATCACCGACATAATTATTCTTTCATATTTTTAATTATTATCCGTCTGAAAAAAATGTTTTTTTTATTTATTCTCTTACAATAAAAACTCTAAATTTATAAACAAAAAAAATAAAACAATAAAACGACTCCCTTAGCATCCTTCCATATTCCTTAACTGGCTTACCTAAAAATTTACTATCCTTATTAATTATGGATATTGAAAAATTAATTAATAAGTAAGTAAAATTAATTTTATATTTCATATAATAAATACTATATATAATTTTTTTCGGGGTTTATTTTCTAAATACCAAAATTTTCATCATTTCTTTAAGATTATCTAGATGTCCAACAGAGGATAATGCCAATGCTATATTGACTAAAATTTCGGTTTATTTTTTGAACCGATAACGTAAAAAATTATATCAAAGCATGTTTAGATAGGAAATTTAATTCTGAGTTCAATGATATAAAAATTTATAAAATTAAACTTAAGATGTTAGCCTTTTCCCTTCGAACGTTTTCGCGACAAAAATGTTATTTTTTGAACCGGAAACGTAAAAAAATACATCTAAGCATAATTGGATAGGAAATTTAATTCTGAGTAGAATGATATAAAAATATTCAAAATTGCATATAAGATGTTAGCCTTTTCCCTTCCAACGTTTTTACCACAAAAAAATTTTTAAAATTTATTTTTTGAACCGATAACGTAAAAAATTACATCAAAGCATATTTAGATAGGAAATTTAATTCTGAGTTCAATGATATAAAAATTTATAAAATTAAACTTAAGATGTTAGCCTTTTCCCTTCGAACGTTTTCGCGACAAAAATGTTATTTTTTGAACCGGAAACGTAAAAAAATACATCTAAGCATAATTGGATAGGAAATTTAATTCTGAGTAGAATGATATAAAAATATTCAAAATTGCATATAAGATGTTAGCCTTTTCCCTTCCAAAGTTTTTACCACAAAAAAATTTTTAAAATTTATTTTTTGAACCAATAACGTGAAAAAATACATCAAAGCATATTTAGATAGGAAATTTAATTCTGAGTTCAATGATATAAAAATTTATAGAATTAAACTAAAGATGTTAGCCTTTTCCCTTCGAACGTTTTCGCGACAAAAATGTTATCGGAAACGTAAAAAAATATATCTAAGCATAATTGGATAGGAAATTTAATTCTGAGTAGAATGATATAAAAATATTCAAAATTGCATATAAGATGTTAGCATTTTCCCTTCCAACGTTTTTACCACAAAAAAATTTTTAAAATTTATTTTTTGAACCAATAACGTGAAAAAATACATCAAAGGATATTTAGATAGGAAATTTAATTCTGAGTTCAATGATATAAAAATTTATAGAATTAAACTAAAGATGTTAGCCTTTTCCCTTCGAACGTTTTCGCGACAAAAATGTTATTTTTTGAACCGGAAACGTAAAAAAATACATCTAAGCATAATTGGATAGGAAATTTAATTCTGAGTAGAATGATATAAAATAATTCAAAATTGCATATAAGATGTTAGCCTTTTCCCTTCCAACGTTTTTACCACAAAAAATTTTTAAAATTTATTTTTTGAACCGATAACGTAAAAAATTACATCAAAGCATATTTAGATAGGAAATTTAATTCTGAGTTCAATGATATAAAAATTTAAAGAATTAAACTAAAGATGTTAGCCTTTTCCCTTCGAACGTTTTCGCGACAAAAATGTTATTTTTTGAACCGGAAACGTAAAAAAATACATCTAAGCATAATTGGATAGGAAATTTAATTCTGAGTAGAATGATATAAAAATATTCAAAATTGCATATAAGATGTTAGCCTTTTCCCTTCCAACGTCTTTACCACAAAAAAATTTTTAAAATTTATTTTTTGAACCGATAACGTAAAAAATTACATCAAAGCATATTTAGATAGGAAATTTAATTCTGAGTTCAATGATATAAAAATTTATAAAATTAAACTAAAGATGTTAGCCTTTTCCCTTCGAACGTTTTCGCGACAAAAATGTTATTTTTTGAACCGGAAACGTAGAAAAATACATCTAAGCATAATTGGATAGGAAATTTAATTCTGAGTAGAATGATATAAAAATATTCAAAATTGCATATAAGATGTTAGCCTTTTCCCTTCCAACGTTTTTACCACAAAAAAATTTTAAAATTTATTTTTTGAACCAATAACGTGAAAAAACACATCAAAACATATTTAGATAGGAAATTTAATTCTGAGTTCAATGATATAAAAATTTATAGAATTAAACTAAAGATGTTAGCCTTTTCCCTTCGAACGTTTTCGCGACAAAAATGTTATTTTTTGAACCGGAAACGTAAAAAAATACATCTAAGCAAAATTGGATAGGAAATTTAATTCTGAGTAGAATGATATAAAAATATTCAAAATTGCATATAAGATGTTAGCCTTTTCCCTTCCAACGTTTTTACCACAAAAAAATTTTTTAAATTTATTTTTTGAACCGATAACGTAAAAAAATACATCAAAGCATATTTAGATAGGAAATTTAATTCTGAGTTCAATGATATAAAAATATTATAAAATTAAACTAAAGATGTTAGCCTTTTCCCTTCGAACGTTTTCGCGACAAAAATGTTATTTTTTGAACCGGAAACGTAAAAAAATACATCTAAGCATAATTGGATAGGAAATTTAATTCTGAGTAGAATGATATAAAAATATTACAAAATTACACTATAAGATGTTAGCCTTTTCCCTTCGAACGTTTTTGCCACAAAAAATTGTTAAATTTATTTTTGAACCGGATAACGTGAAAAAATACATCAAAGCATATTTAGATAGGAAATTTAATTCTGAGTAGAATGATATAAAAATATTCAAAATTGCATATAAGATGTTAGCCTTTTCCCTAATCCAGTACTCACAATATCGTTATACTTACTATCAATTTAGTTTTGAAAAAAAACTTAAATAGAATATACATATAATTTTAAAAATTCCATTATTTTAAAATAACCAAATAATTTAATTAAAAATATAAATTAAAAATTAATGAAATTAAATAAAATTATAATCGCAATTTATTTCAAAGAATTAATAAAAAAATTGAAATATTATAATCCATTTTTTTAAAATAACCAAATATAATTTAATTAAAAATAAAAATTAAATAAAAATAAAAATAAACCGCAATTTATTTCAAAGAATTAATAAAAAAATTGAAAAGATCTTAAAATTTCCATTTTTTTAATATATTATATTCCATTTTTTTTAAATAAATAAATATAATTTAATTAAAAATATAAATTAAAAATTAATAAAATTAAATAAAATTAAAACCGTAATTTATTTCAAAGAATTAATAAAAAAATTGAAAAGATCTTAAAATTTCCATTTTTTAAATATATTATAATGTAATGTTATTATAATATTTTTCTCGTAAAAAAAGCAATAAATCAATCAAATTACACATTAATCATTTTCTTTGTTATTTTTATTTTCAATATTATTTTTTAGCCTTTCGTATCATGCAGCCTTTCGACTTATAGACCTACCCCTAATTGTCTGTCTTAATCTCAGAAAAATTCTATTCTAATTTATTCTCTATTTAAAAAATGATAATTCGAATCTTTGCCAAGGAAGTCCATGGCTGCAAATAATCAGGCTCGGTGTAACGGGCAACATAATTAGACTCATGTTCAATGCCGGTATGTTTGGGTTTAATATTTTTATAGATCCTAACGTCGACCCGATTTAAAATTTTTTTAACCCGAAGCTGATTCTTTCTATACAAACTTAATATGATTTCTTCTAAACAAACTTAATACGATTCCTTCTATACAAACTTAATATGATTCCCTCTATACAAACTTAATATGATTCCCTCTATACAAACTTAATATGATTCCTTCTATATAAACTTAATATGATTCCTTCTATACAAACTTAATATGATTACTTCTATACAAACTTAATATGAATAATTTTTTCTAAAATTTGTATAAAGAATTTAATTTTTTTTAGTGATAACACTATAATTAAAGGAAGATTCCAAAAATAAATAAAATTTAAGCATAACAATCGAAATAATTTATTCATTAAATTGAAATATACTATTAAAATTTATACAATCATTAATAAAATGAATAAAAACATCAAAACGATTTAATAATCTATATTTTCGAAAATATCTATATTCAAGAAGATATTCATGAATATTAACCCGATCCCCATGTCTTTTATAATTTGCCTTTAGATCCCGCCACAGCCTCTCGACTTTTTGAGTGTGGATCGATCTGTCATTTGGATCAACAAAATTTTGCGAATGGTTGATCCGATAGTGGAAATAGTTTGAACTTTCTAGCCGATTATATCTAAGATAAATATATTTACATTTATCACCACTTTTGCTTTATTGAAAAAATAAATTCACATACCCTAACCACGAGTCAGTCATTATCGTGGAATCTTGCATAACATTATCTTTAACCACACGATAGGTGGTATCTTGATCTCTTGTTGTGGTGGCACTTAAAAATATCTCATTTGTTTCCCGACATATACCACCAATAATCCATATAGCCTCGGAAGTCAAATGACGACCACGGTTATATTTACGCTTCCATACATGAGTTTCATCAATTTCAATAACGTTGCCAGGCCCCCCGATCTTTGAATGATTCGAGGCTATATGGAATCCACATACCTTTCGAAATTTTTTAAACCTATATAAGTGAAGTAAAAAACCATATTATACTTTAGATTACCATCTTGAAATTGCCTTCTTATCATAATCTAACTCTTTCGAAGCAGTTAAAATTTTATAACGGCCTAAAAATAATTTTGTTTAATATTTTTTAAAGAATTGGTACTTATGTACAAGTACACTAGTCTTAAAAATTTCCCAACATCATGAATTCCTTCAAAAATGGAATCTAAAAATTCGTCATTTATGATATATATATATATATTAATATTACCTTTCCATATTGAATACGATCTACGACACCTACTGCATCGATATCGTAAACTCTTATTGTTTTTTTCAACCCGCATTACGGAATTGCAACAGGTTTGTTGTATTCCAGGCGGTATAAATTGATTATTTAGACAAAAATCATAAGCTTTCTCATCATTTTGAGTATAAACACCAACTTCAAAAATATTCATTTTTAAAAAAATGGAAGGAATTATATAATATATATTGGAACTAAAAAAAAGGGAACCAAAAAAAGATTTATACCAAAAAAAAAATTAAAAATGGAAAGTTTCGTCTACCAAAAATCTTACCCCAAACCTACCCGCATTGTACATAATCTAATAATTTTACCCCTTACCCCTAGCCTTACCCCTTATTTGCCCTCATCACTTCCTTTAAATAATTGTACGAATTTTAAATTTTAGAAAAAATTATTTTAAAATATCTTAAATAAAAAAAGATATATTAATTTTAAAATATCTTAAATAAAAAATTAACCAATAAGAAAATGAACCAATCATAAAAAAATTACATAAAAACAATAGCTTTCATAAAAAAATTACATAAAAAAAAATCGCATAAAAAAATAACAAAAAATCGCATAAAAAAATAACAAAAAATAACATTAAAAAATAACAAAAATAATTGCCCCTGAAAAGGTACCCTAACCAAAAATAGCAATCAAAAGTTATATCAGAAAAAAAGGACGTTAATAATAAATATATAATAAATCATTTAAAGAAAATATATTTAAAAAAATTAGCGATCAAAAGATATATCATAAAAATAGTACGTTTTAAATAAATATATAAAAATTCATTTTAGCGATCATAAAAAAAATATATTTTTAAAAAAAAATATAAAAAAAATGATTTAAAGAATGAAATGAATGGCATATATCGGCAATTGAAAGCTGCAAATATTTGGGCTCCACTATACAAACAAACGGCACAATAGAGAAAGAGATAAAGAGTAAAATTAATCAAGGGTGGTTAAAGTGGAGATCTTTATCTGGAGTGCTCTTTGACAAAAGATTTCCACACAAATTGAAGGGAAAAATTTACAGTTCCATAGTACAACCAACTATTCTATAAAGTTTGGAAACATGGCCAACCAAAGAATCATACGAGAGAAGTCTACAAACTATGGAAATGAGAATGATGAGGATGATTGCTGGAGTAACAAGAAAGAATAAGGTGCGAAGTACAAGAATACTAGGAAGTTTAAAGGTAGCGCATGTTAAAACTAAGATAATGGTAAACAGACTGGTATGCCCATACAATGAGAAGGCCTATGAACTACATAGGAAATAAGGTTGAGAGTTTGGAAGTGATGGGTAAACGTAAAAGAGGAAGGCCAAAACTTCAATGGGGCCATAAAGTTAGAGTCAATATGAAGAAGTATAAATTAGATATACGAGATAGTATGAATAAAATAAAGTGGAGAGAGATATTGAAGGAGCTTACCATTAGAAAAGGTGAAAGCTAAAAAGTAAAAAAAAAAATTTTTTTTTTAATTAGCGATCAAATATATCAGAAAAACAATACGTAAAAAAATAAATATATAAAATATATTAAAAAAAATATATTTAAAAAAAATATATTTAAAAAAAATATATTTAAAAAAAATATATTTAAAAAAAATATATTTAAAAAAAATATATTTAAAAAAAATATATTTAAAAAAAATATATTTAAAAAATAAATATATAAAAAATGATAAAGAGAATATACTTATTAAAAAAAATTAGCTATCAAAAGATATATCAGAAAAATGTACGTAAAAATAAATATATAAAAAATCATCTTAAAAAAATATTATATCAAAAAAAAACATTATATTATATCTAAAAAATGATGTAAATTAATCAAGTTAAATTAAACTTAAAAAATTATTAATAGTATAATATTACAAAAATAATACATTGCCCAAATAATAAATTCATCCTGCCTACCACTATATGTAACATTTTGCCGAAAAAAATCAGGCAATGTACACATTGCCGAAAATAACACATGGACGCTAACATATATAACAAAATATCACCTCAGAACAGTAATAAAATAAACATTTTAATTATAAATTGAACTTATTACATCTAGTGTTGTTAAACGGCTAAGCCGAGTCGACTTAGCTGCGACTCGAGCCTAGTTTCTAGTCGAAAAAACTACTTTGACTCGAGTCGACTAAATGAGCCGCATTGGTCGGCTCGCTTAGTCGGCTCGCTTAGTCGGCTCGCTTAGTCGGCTCGCTTAGTCGGCTCGCTTAGTCGGCTCGTGTATTTGACTCGTTGGGTCTGCTCAATTTTTTTGTTTTTTTTTATAAAATCTGATAAATTGCTAAATTTTGAGAAACTGATTAATGTGAACAAAACTATAATAAGAATATGTTGTTTTTAAAGTTTTTCGAATTTTTTTGGCATAAATGGGCTAAAATAAGTATTGCTAACATGTTTAAATAAAATTTTAGTGAAGATGTACCCTAGATAAGTGACAATTGTCATAATCGTTGTTTTTAAAGTTTTTCGAATTTTTTTGACGTAAATGGGCTAAAATAAGCATTGCTAACATGTTTAAATAAAATTTTAGTGAAGATGTAGCCTAGATACATGGTCTCCCATTCAAAATAAGAAAATCATAATATTTTTTTAATTTTTTCTTAAACTTATATTTATTTTAGTTATTCCTTTTTAATTTATTTCTAAATTTTTGCGATTTCTTTCGTTTTTTTTCTTACCGTATCATTTTTCAATTTATTTCTAACCTTTTGCGATTTTTTTCACTTTTATTTTTCTTACTATATCTTATCTCAATTTATTTTTCTTCAATTTATAAATTTAGGTCCATTTTTTTAACAATTTACGGTTTTTTTCATCATACATAGAGATATAATATTCTTTTTATGTATACAATTTCTTGTTGGGACTGTGATGATTGTACAACTGAATATAAATAACTCGAATTAAAATCCATGGAAATATACTTAAAAAAAATTAATTTTATTTAGTCTGTCTTACCTATTGTTTTAAATAATAAAAATTTTCTAAAGCGTTTTAAAAATAAGAATTTAAAAATGATTATTTTTTATTAATTTAAATATCGTTTGGTATTACAGTTAAGGTAAACCATACGATTATAATATAATTTAGCAATTGTAATTATATTGTCTGCCAAAAACTTTAAATATAATTTTAAATATAATTTTAAAAAATAATTATCAAAAATGAAAAGAAAAAATAGATAAATGCTCAAAAAAATAAAGATTAAAAATGACCAGATTGAAAAAATGTATGCAAAAGATTAAAATGAATAAATCATAAAAAGAATATTATATCTGTATGTATGATGAAAAAAAACGTAAATTGTTAAAAAAATGGACCTAAATTTATAAATTGAGAAAAGATATAGTAAGAAAAATAAAAGTAAAAATCGCAAAAGGTTAGAAATAAATTGAGAAAAGATACAGTAAGAAAAAAAACGTAAAGAAATCGAAAAAATTTAGAAATAAATTAAAAAAATAACTAAAATAAATAAAAGTTTAAGAAAAATTGACAAAAAATTAAAGAAATATTATGATTTTCTTATTTTGAATGGGA